ACGCACTCTCCTCGACCTCCACTCCATCAACTCTACCATCATCCAAGAACTTACCTCAAGGAAGGATAATTTACCCTGGAGGTGACTGACCGAGGTGCTTACCTTCCCTCAGTCTTTACACAGATTACAACCACCAGCAACTAACGCCTAGTTAATTCCGTGTGATTTGAAGAATTCTGTTTATGCAATTCTTACAAGTATAGTTACGTTATTTTTCATTAGTAATTAAGAGTGACTCGAATAAGGTACACAATACGATTTAACGAGCGCTAGTACGACCATTTACACTAAACACTCACTGCGTTAAGCAAAAAATAATCTCACCAATACTTTGAAAGAAAAAAAAAACGATAGATACCGACACGATATCATGTCACAATTTGTTTTAGACAAGTCAATTTTTACAAGAGTTGTTATCTTACCCCAGCTTATTTCAAAGCTCCAGCCCTATCTGAGGTATACTACCCCCCAGGATGCCACCCATACCAGTCGACTAACACCCAGGTACCTACTTACTGCTAGGTGAACAGGGGATAATAGGTGTAAGGAAACATGCTAGGTGTTTCCATCCGTACTGGAGATGGAACTCCAGACACAGTGTGGGAGCTGAGTGCGCTACCAACCAAGCCACGTGATTTGATAAAGGTCACTGTATGAGCGAAACGTGGTTAGTAAAGATCACATTACACTACATTTATGTCTCTTCTTCCAACGTGAAGGTATACACAAGAGGATTATGCAAGATTTATTTCAGTTATCTTAATTATGTTACTAAATACGACAAGCCTAATACACATACACACCCCGTATTTACCACGTACAGTACACGTACACGCCACGAAGACACCACGAACGTCTTGCGTGCATAGCAACCCGGAAGTAAAAAAATCATCACTGGTGCAACGTGGCCTGACCTGACCCCTCCCTCCTTGATAGGTCAGGAGGGAGAGAAGGAAGGAAGGAAGGAAGGAGGGAGTAAGGGAGAGATGGAGTAAGCAAGATGGAAGAAAGGGCAAAAAAAATAGACACGAAGGCCGTAATTACACTCATGGGGAAGCGCTAAATCCATAGGGAGTCAAAGAACCCCTGGGGAATGGTAGTCAATCAGGTTTGATCCAGGATCAAGACCCGTCATCCAAGCCACTTAAGAAAAGATCGCAATAATAATAATAATAATAATAATAATAATAATAATAATAATAATAATAATAATAATAATAATAATAATAATAATAATAATAATAATAATAATGCCCAGGATGCCACCCACAAAAGTCGACTAACACCTAGGTACTTATTAACTGCTAGGTGCACAGGGGCAGCAGATGCTAGGAGACTTTCCCATAAGTCTCTTCTAGCTAAGGAATCGAACTCAGGTCCATTCAGTAGCAAGCAAAACGCTATTTCAGTGACTCCCCGCTCACCCCATTAGGGACATAGGGGGGTATATTATATATATATATATATATATATATATATATATATATATATATATATATATATATATATATATATATATATATATATATATATATATATATATATATTATGGTGTGTAAGTGGTATATACGAGGTGTGTGTATTGTACATATGTGTATTATTTTTGCTATGTTTAGTAGCAGAACGAAAGTATCTAAAAATAACTCGAATAAAACGTATACAATGTTAGGTAACTAAAGTAAAGAAACGTTTCGCCCACCAATGAGAAGGAGAACGAAACTACTGCGCAACATGTAGCTCCTAGGGAGCCCAGTGAGACGCTACCTACCTCCCCAAATAGCGCCCCAAGGACGCCAATTACACAGCTTTTCCACCCTTACTGAAGATTACCAGCGCTGCTCCCCAGTTATAACACTGTATTGATCCTATGAGCGCTGGAGGAGGGCCTGGCCAGGGGGAAATGACTATCATACACAGGAGTATGTTCCACTGTTGCTAGTTATACTTGCATGCTTGACTATTGGTTCGTCCTTGAAGGAATAATGCGTTAACACTAATCTCTGGTCGAAGGAGACTCGACCCTACGTTCGAGTCTCCTTCGATCAGAAATTAGTCATTTTGCCTGTTCTGCGAATTCTAAACATATATATATGTGGTGTGTGTGTGTGTGTGTGTGTGTGTGTGTGTGTGTGTGTGTGTGTGTGTGTGTGTGTGTGTGTGTGTGTGTGTGTGTGTGTGTGTGTGTCCAAGATAAGTCGTAATAAACAAATGTCAATGAATTAACATAAGATGGGTAAGGACTCGAACCATGGCCCTTTCATGTAGCTTATAATAGGATGGTTTTATGAGTCATGTTTATATGCGTGTAACTTTGGACGGAGGTCAAATTCGTGGCTTATTGTATACGAATCTTGTGTTCTACCACAGCCATGTTGGTTAAAATAGGAAGGCGACAACCTATCACATTTAGGCAATGTCTGCATTGCGTCACCATCTGCAACGTCAGTTCCATGTTTTTTAATAGCCACCTTTCCCTCACCAACAACAGCACCACAGGTGAAGATCTAGCTCTTGCCCCTTTAATGCCTCAAGTTCGACTGCCGCCCACTTTTTCTTGAATTTCATTTCCGTCGTTCATACGACTTTCCACGTCTCCTTAGGCAGGTGTGTGGCAAAAAGAAACTGCTAGTGTGGACTTCTACAGTCGGTGGTGACTAGTGACATAGATGAGAATGTGGAAGCCATTGCCTCTGTGGCTGAAGATCGACCAAATTTCACGTCTAAAAATGCAAACTCTCTACCCTACATTTGCCAGGCGAGGTAGGTCATGTTTACATGATGTATGCAGACAGGAGACACAAGTCACCTGGGGAAGGTGAGGTGAACAATTAACCCCAGGCGACATGACTTACAGTGGGAGGGCCCTGCAGATGAACGAGGGAAGTGACTTGACTGAAGGCTCGCTTGGGGACTCCAGACTACATAATTAACTTTATTATAGGACTGAGGTAACAAGTAATGAATGGTTAGGAGGGAGACGAAGAGAAAAAAAAGGCCGGAGTGGGAAGAAATTAGAAAACAAATCACGAAATTCTCACAGCCATGTTAGCTAGAGCACTAAACCGGTAGTTTTTTTTCCTATCAGAGTAGTGCTATGATTCAACAGGCTGTTTAAAAAGCGGAAAATCAACTACCACAAAATCAAAGCGGTAATTATAGACACTGACACAAACAAAAAATCCATCAAAAATAAATAAACCTCATTGATTTCTTGCAAACATTCAAGGTCTTAAGCCAAGCGAAAACAATAAAATATATTTTGTAAATCACGTCATTGTTGCATGTGTCTGGCTGTATTTTCATTCAGAAGAAATATGTAGGCCGCTTTACGTATGTCCTACTTTCTATATTTTGACGAGTTTGCTGCCTAGCATTGTGCGTCCACTCAAAATAACAATGATCTGTGGTTGTTCCAGCATTAGATGTACATATTTATTTCATTGTATTGGGCCCACATGTGGACATTCTGACAGCTGTCTCAATTATTGCTAGCAGTGAAACTTCGGGTACTTGAGTAAGCCTAATCTAGTTGTATATTAATATATACAAGGTTACATCCTGGCGAGGTACACCTCGTATAGTGTATTCACCTTCACTTGCCATCAAGGTTACCTCCTGGAGAGGTACACCTCGTATAGTGTATTCACCTTCACTTGCCATCAAGGTTACCTCCTGGCGAGGTACACCTCGTATAGTGTATTCACCTTCACTTGCCATCAAGGTTACCTCAGGGCGAGGTACACCTCGTATAGTGTATTCACCTTCACTTGCCATCAAGGTTACCTCTGGGTGAGGTACACCTCGTATAGTGTATTCACCTTCACTTGCCATCAAGGTTACCTCCTGGCGAGGTACACCTCTCACCTGCTAACCAGAAAGTAGCAGCCACAGGCATTAACACTGTCTTACTATTAGCTTAGGAGTCCATCTAATGCAAAGGCTAATTTGCTATAAGTAATAATGTATGTATAGCCATTCTTGAGCAGAACCAAGGCTGCCTTTATATAACAGAAGCAAAAAGTAGGTTTCATAAGTATTGTCTATTTTAATTCGTTCGTTTAGACCTAATCAATAAATTTACAAAACGCACTGATGAAAACTAAGACTACTGTCTTACAAGGTCTTGCAACACTCATCACTGAACGAAATAATCTGCATGGGATGACAAAATATAGATGTTGGGATATATTTGTATGAGATACGACAGAAAAAAAAATCACAAGGTGAGATAGTTCGATACGTTAAAAGTTCTCATATGCTTTGAGTCCGCCTAACATCACACATAATGTAGTCGAAGCGCTGGAAGTGGAAGTCGAAAAACAAAATTTGTTTATTCTTGTATACAAGCCACTAGATGTAAATTCACAATGCGTTAGAGATCATTTACGATAACTTTACAAACTCAGCGGCAAACATCATCTCGGTTTGTGAATACAATTTAAAGTATCCAAGTGTACATGTATAGGTAGTAGGTTGGTAGACAGCAACCGCCCAGGGAGGTACTACCGTCCTGCCAAGTGAGTGTAAAACGAAAGCCTGTAATTGTTTTACATGATGGTAGGATTGCTGGTGTCCTTTTTTCTGTCTCATGAACATGCAAGATTTCAGGTACGTCTTGCTACTTCTACTTACACTTAGGTCACACTACACATACATGTACAAGCACATATATACGCACCCCTCTGGGTTTTCTTCTATTTTCTTTCTAGTTCTTATTCTTGTTTATTTCCTCTTATCTCCATGGGGAAGTGGAACAGAATTCTTCCTCCGTAAGCCATGCGTGTTGTAAGAGGCGACTAAAATGCCGGGAGCAAGGGGCTAGTAACCTCTTCTCCTGTATATATTACTAAATGTAAAAGGAGAAACTTTTGTTTTTCCTTTTGGGCCACCCCGCCTCGGTGGGATACGGCCGGTGTGTTGAAAGAAAGAAAGAAGTGTACATGTTAACAGCAGTGGGCTCCGGATCCCACTGGTGCCACCAAGCATGCAAGGAAACTTACCAACAACAGTGGGCTCCAGATCAACAAAGACCGCCCTGGGGACGTGCTTGCCATTTCTAGTCTCACTGAAGAATGTGTTGAACGAGTCATCACCGTAGCCGATCGTCTCATCGGAGGGCATCATTCCGTCTGGCTGGATGCCATGTTCCAGGCAGTAAAGCTCCCAACAGGCATTTCCCATCTGCACCCCGGCCTGTCCCACGTGGATGCTGATACATTCTCGCTGGCGGCAGGAAGTTAAAGACGTATCGTAATCATCACAACTTGATAAATCTTTTCCTGAGCTAAATTTTGTATTAAGTAAAGATAAAACAAGTAGCATTGCATTCATAGGTACATGAAGCAGGATGGAAGGGAAGCGAAGTCAGGGAAGCGGCAAGGTCCCTTAAACTGAATATTTTAATGGAAGAAATTGAGTATTTTCAGGGTGGTTATTTTTAGGAAGATTCTTTGATAGTCCACTGGTTATTTATGTTTGAGATGGGTTAACTGATCTACTTTGTTACATAAACGAAAAGGTCTGTAACGTATGTCAGATACTGTTACTTTTGTGCTGTTGTAGGCCAGATATAGTGGTTATATGGAAATCAGGGCTCTCTTAAACAATCAGGCAGATCCCTTCCACTCCCCCACACAATCTAAAGCGCCTATGTGTGAAGATGGTAAACGTAGATGTCTTTAGCGAGCCGCTCCTAGTAATTATCATGTGCTTCCTTACCTACTGAAGTACCTAGTGTGTGTGTGTGTGAGAGAGAGAGAGAGAGAGAGAGAGAGAGAGAGATTATTTACTAAATTTCATCACTTCCTCATAAAGGTCGTTCCACTTGTTTACCACCACAAGATTGAAAAGTATTTTCTAACTTCTGCCCTGGCTCATGTGTCTCTAGCTTTCACCAGTGACCCCTAACCCTTGTGCCTCGCATTTCAATAGTTTGTTCGTATCTGCAGATTTTCCGAGTATCTTCTACTTCGTAATTACGTTTCCTTTAGTCATTCTATCTACTAAGGTCATCACAATGAATCATTTTAATCTCTCCTCGTAGTTCGATTCCTGGAGCAGTCTTGTTTCAAACCTCTAGTCCTTATCTAGTCTGAACATGTTTGGTCAGATGAGAGCTCCAAGCTGGTGTTACATACTTCTTGATAGACCTAATACTTGCAGTGTACAGTACCCTAAAAGATTCCTTGTTAAGGCCTCTAAAGGCAGTTTCAAAATTAGCTAACCTCGCATATAAGAACATAAGAACATAAGAAAGGAGGAACACTGCAGCAGGCCTGTTGGCCCATATGCTGCCCTTATTATGCCGTTTATGTACACTTCTGGCGATATGTTCAGTGAGATGCTTACTTCAAGATCTCTCTCCTTGAGCGATATTTAGAGATTTCTCACCTCTGAAGCTGTATTCCGTCACCGCTATTCTCTCTCTCCTTTGCCCAATTTTTATGGCCTTGCGCTTATTTAACTAGAACTCTGGTAGCCATTTTTTACTGTATTTAGAGCTTGTCCAAGGCTACCTGGAGCTTGTTACTAGTCTTAAGCCGTCGCCAATTGTACTAACAACCGTGGTTTGTGTACTCACCTAGTTGTGGTTGCAGGGGTCGATTCACAGCTCCTGACCACTGTGTGTGTGTGTGTGTGTGTGTGTGCTACTCAGAGATATAACACTGAACCATTTATAAATACTAATGCACTATTTCAGTTACTATGAACAGACCACTTTCAAATGCACAATGTATGTATAATGCAAAACACTGAGTAATGCCCGTGTGGTGGATGGAACGTAGGTCTGCCAGTGTAAGAATGTTAATCAATGCACACGTAATACCTTTGCAACAACAACTTGAAGTCTCCACACACACACACACACACACACACACACACACACACACACACACACACACACACACACAGGTAACTCTCTCTAACTCACCCCTCCGCTGACCATCTTCAAACTCGTCAGGGAAGTGTCCTGGACTTAGATCAGCGATGGAAGTATCCGTAGGTCTGGGGAGAATGTATTAGTGTGTGCCAGGGGAGGATTGGGGAGGAAGGCACTTGTCGCTGGGTGAGCACTCCGCTGACTGGCACTGCTGCCACTGGCACTGCTGCCACCCACACACCCTTGCCACCCTTACCACCGTCCACACCTTACCTAGCCGCCCAGCCAATCAAAACCCCTTGCCCTTACTCTCCACCAATGAGAAGTCGTGATTGAGCATTGTGGGGCGGGGCTTGAATAGACAGTACCTACATATTTTCACTAGTGTCTTCAAACATAACTGACTTTGCAAAAGAAAAAATCATAAAATTGATTAGGGAATTTACATTATAGATCAAAAGTATTTTTTTTCCATCAACTGGTGTGTGCAAGATAGAACAATTGGCATTAAAAATGTCATTAAAACAATATAATTTCTCAAAAAAATCAAGGTTAAAATAATCGTTTCTTCAGCATGTTCAATCGTTCCAAATTCCAGAAATTCGTGACCTGGTTGTGGTGTATTGTGCCAGAACGTTAATGTAAGTAAAACACCTGCAGAAGAATGCAGCAATGTGACAGAGATGGAGTGTGTGGACCACTGACACAGTGTGTCAGAGATGGAGTGTGTGAACCAGTGACACAGTGTGTCAGAGATGGAGTGTGTGGACCACTGACACAGTGTGTCAGAGATGGAGTGTGTGAACCAGTGACACAGTGTGTCAGAGATGGAGTGTGTGGACCACTGACACAGTGTGTCAGAGATGGAGTGTGTGAACCAGTGACACAGTGTGTCAGAGATGGAGTGTGTGGACCACTGACACAGTGTGTCAGAGATGGAGTGTGTGAACCAGTGACACAGTGTGTCAGAGATGGAGTGTGTGGGGCACTGACACAGTGCGTCAGAGATGGAGTGTGTGAACCAGTGACACAGTGTGTCAGAGATGGAGTGTGTGGACCACTGACACAGTGTGTCAGAGATGGAGTGTGTGGACCACTGACACAGTGTGTCAGAGATGGAGTGTGTGAACCAGTGACACAGTGTGTCAGAGATGGAGTGTGTGGACCACTGACACAGTGTGTCAGAGATGGAGTGTGTGAACCAGTGACACAGTGTGTCAGAGATGGAGTGTGTGGACCACTGACACAGTGTGTCAGAGATGGAGTGTGTGAACAAGTGACACAGTGTGTCAGAGATGGAGTGTGTGGACCACTGACACAGTGTGTCAGAGATGGAGTGTGTGAACCAGTGACACAGTGTGTCAGAGATGGAGTGTGTGGACCACTGACACAGTGCGTCAGAGATGGAGTGTGTGAACCAGTGACACAGTGTGTCAGAGATGGAGTGTGTGTGGACCACTGACACAGTGTGTCAGAGATGGAGTGTGTGGACCACTGACACAGTGTGTCAGAGATGGAGTGTGTGAACCAGTGACACTGTGTGTCAGAGATGGAGTGTGTGGACCACTGACACAGTGTGTCAGAGATGGAGTGTGTGAACCAGTGACACAGTGTGTCAGAGATGGAGTGTGTGAACCACTGACACAGTGTGTCAGAGATGGAGTGTGTGAACCAGTGACACAGTGTGTCAGAGATGGAGTGTGTGAACCACTGACACAGTGTACTCACCTAATTGTACTCACCTAATTGTAGTTGCAGGGGTCGAGACTCAGCTCCTGGCCCCGCCTCTTCACTGAACGCTACTAGGTCCTCTCTCTCCCTGCTCCATGAGCGTTATCATACCTCGTCTTAAAGCTATGTATGGTTCCTGCCTCCACTACATCGCTCGCCAGACTGTTCCACTTCCTGACCACTCTTATGACTGAAGAAATGCTTCCTAACATCCCTGTGACTCATCTCAGTCTTCAACTTCTAAGAATGACCCCTTGTTTCTGTGTCCCCTCTCTGGAACATCTTGTCTCTGTCCACCTTGTCTATTCCACGCAGTATTTTGTATGTGGTTATCATGTCTCCCCTATCCCTCCTGTCCTCCAGTGTCATCAGGCCGATTTCCCTCAACCTTTCTTCATAGGACATTCCCCTTAGCTCTGGAGCTAACCTTGTCGCAAACTTTTGCACTTTCTCTAATTTCTTAACGTGCTTGACCCGGTGCGGGTTCCAAACTGGTGCTGCATACTCCAGTATGGGCCTGACGTACACGGTGATACAGTGTCTTGAAAGATTCCTTACTTAGGTATCGGAATGCTAATCTCAGGTTTGCCAGGCGCCCATATGCTGCAGCAGTTATCTGGTTGATGTGTGCTTCCGGAGACGTGTTCTGTGTTATACTCACGCCAAGATCTTTCTCCTTGAGTGAGGTTTGCAGTCGTTGGCCACCTAGCCTATACTCTGTTTGCGGTCTTCTTTGCCCTTCTCCGATCTTCATGACTTTGCATTTGGCAGGGCTGAATTCGAGAAGCCAGTTGCTGGACCACGTGTCCAGCCTGTCCAGGTCTCTTTGAAGGACTGCCTGATCCCCATCTGATTTAATTCTCCTCATTAACTTCACATCATCTGCGAACAGGGACACCTCTGAGTCTATCCTTTTCATCATGTCATTCACATATACCAAAAATAGCACTGGTCCTAGGATCGACCCCTGTGGGACCCCGCTCGTCACAGGTGCCCACTGTGATACCTCATCACGTACCATGACTCGTTGTTGCCTCCCTGTCAGGTATTCTCTGATCCATTGAAGTGCCCTTCCGTTATACGCGCCTGATCCTCTGGTTTCTGCACTAATCTCTTGTGAGGAACTGTGTCGAAGGCCTTCTTGCAGTCCAAGAAGATGCAATCAACCCACCCCTCTCTCTCATCTCTTCTGTTACTTTATCATAAAACTCAAGGTTTGAACACAGGATTTGCCTTCCATGAAACCGTGCTGGTTGTTATTTATACTTTTGTTCCGTTCCAGGTGCTCCACCACTCTTCTGATAATCTTCTCCATGATTTTGCATACTATACACGTCAGTGACACTGGTCTGTAGTTTAGCGCCTCTTTTCTGTCTCCCTTTTTAAAAATGGGAACTACATTTGCCGTCTTCCATACTTCAGGTAGTTGCCCATTGTCAAGGGATGTGTTGAAGATTGTGGTTAATGGGACACACACAGCATTTCTGCTCCCTCCCTGAGGACCCACGGGGAGATGTTGTCCGGTCCCATTGCCTTTGAGGTATCAAGGTCACTTAGCAGCTTCTTCACCTCCTCAGTTCTGTGTATGCCATCCAGTACTTGTTGGTCTATTCCCTGTTGGTGTTTCCCTCTGTCCTGTCTTCCCAGAGTCCTTCCTGTCTCCACTGTGAATACTTCCTTAAATCTCTTGTTGAGCTCCTCACATACCTCTTCATCGTTTCGTGTGAGTTCCCCACCTTCTTTCCTCAGCCTGATCACCTGGTCTTTGACTGTTGTCTTTCTCCTAATGTGGCTATACAGCAGTTTCGGGTCAGACTTGACTTTTGATGCTATGTCGTTTTCATACTGTCGCTGGGCCTCCCCCCTTATCTGTGCATACTCGTTCTGGCTCTTTGACTGATTTCCTTATTTTCCTGGGTCTTTTGCCTTCTGTACCTCTTCCATTCTCTAATGCACTTAGTTTTTGCCTCCCTACACCTTCGGGTAAACCAAGGACTCACTTTGGTCTTCCCATTAATTCTGTTGCCCTTGGGAACAAATCTTTCCTCTGCCTCCTTGCATTTTGGTGTTACATATTCCATCATTTCGTTCACTGACTTTCCTACCAGCTCTCTGTCCCACTGAACCTCCCGCAGGAAGTTCCTCATACCTGTATAGTCCCCCTTTTATAGTTTGGCTTTTCCCAATCGACTCCTGTTACCCTCTTCACTTTCAGCTCTACTATGTAATCAAAACTCAGAACCACGTGATCGCTAGTTCCAAGGGGCCTCTCATATGTGATGTTCCCAGTGTCTGAACTGCTCAGGGTGAACACAAGGTCCAGTCTTGCTGGTTCATCCTCCCCTCTCTCTCTGGTAGTGTCCCTGACGTGTTGATGCATGAGGTTTTCCAGTACCACATCCATCATCTTGGCTCTCCATGTGTCAGGACCCCCGTGAGGCTCCAGGTTTTCCCAGTCGATCTCCCTATGGTTGAAATCACCCATAACCAGTAACTTTGCTCTGCACGATTGAGCTCTTCGTGCCACCTCAGCCAGTGTGTCCACCATCGTTCTGTTGTTCTCTTCATATTCCTCTCTTGGCCTCCTGCAGTTCTGTGGTGGGTTATACATCACCTTATGTTCCCCAGACTGAATTGTAGCTACTATGTAGTCCCTTTCTCCAATCTCGCCCACGCTCTCCATTTCCTCAAAACCCCATCCGGTTTTTATGAGTAGTACAACTCATCCTCCCCCTCTGCTCCTTCTGTTTTTCCTCAGGATCTGATATCCCGGTGGGAAGACTGCATCTGTTATTGTCTCAGTGAGTTTCGTTTCTGTGACTGCTATGATGTCTGGGGACTTCTCATTGATTCTTTCACGCCACTCCTCGTATTTATTTGATAATCCATCTGCGTTCGTGTACCACACCTTCAACTTCTTATCTATCACGGTGGTCCTGGGAAAATATTGGGGTTGGGGGAGCGGGAGCCTTGGAGGGGGCCTATGAGGGTTTGCAGTGTGGGTGGGGTTTGTGATTGGGGGGTGAGGGCAGAGCCTATGGGGAGCTGCTGTAAGGGTGGGGTTTGTGATGTAGGGGGTGGGGGGAGAGGGAACAGTGTGTGGGTTTTGGTTTAGATTGGTCAGTTGCTTTGGGGTTGTCGTGGTTGGAGTCCTTCTGCGGGTGTTTCTGTAAGGTGTGTTAGCCCTTCCACCTGAGTCTGGGTTCTACTTTTTATTTATTTATTATCACACTGGCCGATTCCCACCAAGGCAGGGTGGCCCGAAAAAGAAAAACTTTCACCATCATTCACTCCATCACTGTCTTGCCAGAAGGGTGCTTTACACTACAGTTTTTAAACTGCAACATTAACACCCCTCCTTCAGAGTGCAGGCACTGTACTTCCCATCTCCATCAATGCATCTCGTTCCTCCTTTCGTCTTCGCACCCCCTCTCTCAGTATCATCCCTTCTTCTTGTGTGCCAGAGATGGA